CTGCTTTGCTTCTGTTACCGGGAAGGGGCGGCGCTGGTGTCGGCATTGGCACAGGCCCGTGTCGGGGTGAAGGGCGTCGCGTCCCGTTTCCCATGGCTCCCGCCTGGCCTGCGGGGTGCCCTTGCAGCGGCGCCTCTCAGCAGCGCGTCCCATCGGGGCCTCCTCCAGCCCTGCATCCTGCCGGCCGCCTGGCCTTGCCCGCGGCTGCTCTCCCACGAAGAGATTGCAGCGTGGCCGCTGCTGGAAGATGCGTGCTTCGGCCCGTCCTGTCAAACTTAACCAAAGCCGGTCCCCGTAGAAACCCCCAAAAAGCTGCTCTCTGCCCTCAATCGGCTCTCCTCTGCCCGACAGCCGAGGCAGAATCAGCTCTCGTTGTCCAGCACCTCAGACACAGCGTGTCCCCAAATCCGGTCTTTGTGCCCATGTCTCTTCCATTGCACCAGGTAACAGAAGCAAAGCAGGAAACGCTGAAGTTACCGATGAGGGTTGACAAGCTCCCGAAGAAGTCGCACATCAACCCCTCCTGTCAGCTCCTCTGCAAAAGGTGCCTGGCTTCTCCCCAGTTCATTCTCCCCAGGCTGGGAAGCCACAAAACACTTGCTACCAGTATTCAGGTGATGGGAACCCGAGGTCATCTGCAGGTCTGCAGGCATCCGTGACAGTGACTGTGGGAATCTGCTATTGCAGGCTCCAGGAAAACAAACCAGCGATAGGAAAGAAGGTGCACTTGTAGGTCTGTTACCAGTGGCACTGTGCATTGATTGGACAAGTGATTATTTATTTCCAGTAGCCCACTGCAACCCTGTCACTGAGGATATTATTATAGAATGTTCCCAAGTCTAAAATCTGGGTTTAGTAGTTAAACCCACCGTAAATTTACATAACTGTTTATTTATTTTCGCTTTGATGCATTGGTTAGTGACAATTTTTATATTTTAAAACGATGTATGTAGAGTGCTTAGTACATAAGAGCGTAATCTTCATTTACTTTCCCAAGCACTGATCTGATACAAATGGTAAAAAATGGACTTTGATATTTTTAAGAACTTTAACTTGAACCCAGAAATTGCACATACAATTTTTTTCATCAATTGCATCATCACTATAAATATTTTTCATAATTGGAGCTGAAGACTTCTATGTGTGATATTCGTCTTTGATGTTTTTATTGTTTCAGCAAATATGTGTCAGCCATTTTTGAGAACATAGCTAGGCAAAAATGACGTGAAGCTCAAAGTGGGAAACATCAGGGAAAGATGCTGAAAAATTGAATATGTTTTGAGATTTTCTAATTCTAAGACTAAAAAAATGATTGGACAAAAGCCTGTGGCTGCTCCACTAATGTGGGACTGAAGATATGATCTTAGTGGCAATACTGATGATGGAAAGGATGGGCAGCTCCCTAGCCCCTGCCTCCCATATAGAACTGTTCTCTTTTGGAGACTAAAGGCAGCAGGTAGAGCTATCTTAAACTAATGCCATGAAGAGGGGGATGCTGGAAACAAATGGGTTATACCTTAAAAAAGTTGCAAAGAAAATTGATGGAATGTGATAAGAAAATGTTAAGACAATTTTTCAGTTGCAAATAATTTAAACCAAAAATCCTTTCTGGTATGTTTACCAGGGAGAAATCTTTCAGCATCTAATAAATATCAGTATTATAATGTGGTTATAAATCAGTAACTTAAACGTTGGTTTGAGTCAAAATGATGAAGGAAAAAGGCTGTGTAGAATTCAGCAATAAAAAACTAAAGAATGAAGATGAAGTTAATACTACTGAAAAAGCATTAGTGTGCATTTTCAAGGTTATTAGAATTTGAGTTAATAAATGGAACAGTAAAAGGTGATGCTTTTTAGACTTGTAATACCTTTGACTTCGTATCACAGAGAATTCTGATAAACATGTATGAAATTGCTAAGGGCTGATCAGATGACAGGTCTTCAAAAGTACCTGTTATAGTAGAGTTTTAGGGTGACTTGTGCTTTTTCCTGCTTGATACTGCTGCTGGTAATCTGGAAATAGATTCTGAATAATTAAAGTTGAAAAATGCTGCTGATAAAAATATTGACAGACTCGTAAATGAAACTAAAAACATCATGATAATACAGATAATAGGAATCTATTAAAGCAAAGCATGTTTTAAAATCAAATTGAAACAGAAGTAAAAAGCTGAATTAAAGTTGGATTTTTTTCTTTAACCAGAACTGAGCCTGTGTTACTACTTTTAAGTCTTTAACCCAAATTTAAGCTGAAGCAAAAAAAAAAAAAATCAACACAAAATTTAAACAGTTCTTTAACACAAGAAGAGCCCACTGCTATGGCAGAAATGTAGCAGGGGCAGAAGAATAGGCATGGGATATTCTTGATGCAGGCGGAGAGGCGGAGTGGTGTGATTGTGCAAGGCAGGTGAGATGAGGAAGGGGTTGGTTTGAGAATCCCAGAGAAGATGACATGGCTTGCATCCTGAGAGATAGCCAAGTTAAGAGAGAAGAAGGATTCACTGCAAATATTTATTGTCCTCTGAAATCTCCCGCTGATGTCAAAACACCTCTGACCTCTCTCTCGTGTACTATTCCTAGAGACTTTCCTCCTACCCTTATTATTCCAATACACATTATGAATCCATTCACGACTGTTGAGATGTGAGGAATTTGCTACAGAGCCAAAATTCGGAAAATTTGATAAACCAGAACTTGGTTAAAATATCACCAGTGCAATTTGCTGATCTTAATACCACCAAACTGACTGTGGACTTAGAACCAAGAGTTTTAAACCAAATCTTTCAGATCAGTGTGCATCCCATGGGACATGGGGATTTTGCAAGAGATCTAGAGATTGTGTTGAACAAGTAAATCTATTTGCTAATGATGTCCTGTAGCTCATAGAGTCAAGTTTTTAGTACTGGGGTACCAGTCAGAAATTGCTACGTCCACTTCGAGTTTCTGTGCTTGAAAAGAGATATTGCAAAATCAGGGAGGAAATAACTACACATGATAGCTGTAAAATTATTTATGAAAAGACTAGGCACATTCATAGTTAAGTAATCGGTGATGATGCAGGAAGTCCTAGAAGCAGAACAGAAAGCCTGTGATTCTTTTTCCAGATAGGAAGACCTCTGTAGCTGGGTTACAGCCCACCAAACTTTTATTTTCATGAAACCTTCACGAGGCAGTGCTTTCCACAGGAGTATGTAACATTCTGTGATGTGAACAGGGTTCTGGGGATCAGTTAGGGATGTGTAGAAGCTTTTTATGCACAGCCTTCTTGTCTTGCCTAACATAGAAATTAGAAGTTTGGGTTTTGGCAGCAGAGTGTAAAATGGATGAATTATTCAAGAAGCTGAATAAATTTTGAAAACCTGGCTTTATTCCTTGCCACTGTTAAAAATCATGTGTGCTAAAATTTTTCGTTCCTCACCTGAAAAAATATTAGAAATTCTCTACACTCCTATCTAAAAGCTATTTTTTTTGTTACTGTGCTTTCAATGTATCACATGCTAAAAACATGAAACAGTCTAAAATATTAGAACATGTTAATTTAATGTGTAAGATTTATGTTTTATGCTTGATCTATTTGCACTTTATCTCCCATCTTTAAGACAGAGTAACAGTTATTCAAGTCAGCATTGTCAAAATAATTTCACTTATACTCTTGAATCATTCATATCCTCTGGTAAAAAAAAAAAAAGTAGAAGGAAATTAAGGAAATTAGTAACTTTCTACTCAATGAAGGGATTATGACAGGAAATCCTATGTTAAGAAAGATTTGGACACCATTTTGGATCAAAAACATATTTTAAAAAAATCAACAAAACTCAATAAAGCAAGACCTTTGCAGAAAAAGTAGCATACTATGATATAGCTAGAGACAGTATCATCATATTTATACAGGAGAGGGAAATTAATTAAATCACATCACAGGGTTGATGCTGTCATTTTTCAATTTCTGAGTGATCATGTATTTTAATGTAGCTTGTGGGAGGGGTAATTATAATTGTTTTTATTGTTTGCTGTAGCATTGCTCAGATATTGTCTAAAACAGGATGCCTTTGTGCTGTGCATTACTCAAGCACGCACCAGATGACAGCCCCTGCTCCAAATAGCTCACAGTTGAAAAAAAAGTGAACACAGATCAAAGAGTGCATGACACACAAGAGTGGTAAATTAATTTGCAGAAATCAATATTCAAATATTGTTGTTTTTCAAGTGAAGGTTGTCGTTAGCAAGGTACTACTTGAATGAAAGAGCAAGGAAAGGGGATTTAGGCAAACTGGGGAAGGCAGAGGAAGGAGACCAGGGAGCTTGTGATGTGAAGAAGAGTGAGAGCAGAAGTTTGAAAAGGCAGCCAAACAGCACAGGAAAGAGCCCAGGCAAACCCTTCACACTGTCATACGTAAAGAACTTCACTTGAGATGTGTAGATTGGTGTAGTTTAAAAAGTACATCTTCAAAATTCTTGAGAGCCTAGAGGTTAGCAGCAAGACTGGCTGAAGAGGGTGAAGCAATTACTCTTACCTGTTTCATTTTGTA